ACGGGTAGACTGAAAAACTGATTGAGGTGAGATAAATCTATCACAGGCCACCAGTCTCTGGTTTTCTTGGGGACAAAAAACAGCCTGGAATAAAGACATGGAGAAAGATGATGAATAGGCTTGATAGTCCGTTGAAACAAAAGGTCTTGAACTGCCTCCAACAGATGCTGGCAGGTAATAGGATCCTGAGGTATAGGGAAGGAAATTGGTACTAGGGACACAGAGGGAAAGGAAAAAATTGGAGGATAAGTCTCTCTGACAAAACCTGAATATCCCACTGATCTGTGACAAAAGATCGCCAAAGAGGAACAAATTCACACAAATAAGCTCCCACGGGGTAGTTACCGGTACTGTTGGTTTAGTGCCCATCTACATCAAATAAAAGGATGAGATGGTGACCCATGGAGGGAGGAACAGGTAAGGGCTAGTAAGGACTGGGATAGGAAACAGGAAGAGGATCATGTTGTGGTTCCGACTGTGACAAACGAGCTACCAAAGAGAAAAGGGTAGAGTGTTGATGCACAGACTCCACACATGATTCCAAAGTTTCAGGTACAAGGTTCGAAAACATACCGCTGAAGAAAAGAGACATGCGTAAATTCCTGAGAAAAGAGGGCGGCAAACAATCCTGGGACAAGGCCGCATCTCAACCCCAAAGATTCCAACAACAGAGAAACCGAGGATGACAATCGAGCCAATGTGGAGGTAATAAGGGAAAGACTGTCCCTCAAAAAACCCTCAGGATCTCGGTGGATTACCTTAGAAAGGAGATGGATGGTAGATAAATTCTGTAGAAGTGATGTAAGTGTAAGGCGAAGGTGGGAAAACTGGGCATGGGTTAAACTCACAGGAAAATCAAGGATTACCTTTCATACAGATAAAATAAACCCCAACTGCTGAGAGTCTAGAAACGGATAGTCAGCATGATGGTAAGTTAAAACAAACTGATCTGTAGCCCATGGAGGGTGAGGCATGCTGGCACCCTCAACCAATTGGGAAGCAAATTGCTCAACATGAACCATATTATCTGGGAGGATGGGAAAACTCCATAAGAAAAGGAAGAACTATCATGTAATAAAGAAGAACGGGGATCATAGGAAATTGGAAAAATTGATAAAACATCACATATCTGAGAAATCATGTTTAAAAATGCCAAATAGGCATTGCTGATTCTGCAGGTTGGGCATAGGAAGACATGGCAAAATCCAGTGGCAGAAAAAGGTGATCAAAATCTTCATCGACTTAAACAGGTTCAGCATCTTCAGGAGGAAGTGGGGCAAGTTTAGGAGAAAGTGGTTAACCCATATAATAATCAATCTCTCAGTGTATAATAGCAGACAAACCCAATGACTGGTCAACCCCACAAGCAGTCTGTGAAAGAGTGCTTGTAGGAGTTATGATACATGAAGAGGTAACATGAACCTCAGAATTCATCGCAAATTTGAATCAAATGAAAATGTTTGATAAACAAAAGTAAATGTGAGAGAAATTTAAATAATGACTGGGAAAGGAAGTTAAAGTAAGATGTGTTTTCAATATAACAAAAAATCAATGAAGAAATTCCACTTTGGAATTGAAACTATTAAATTTATGAGTGCAAAGCACACGAGAAGCACTAAAGGCAAACAATGTCTGAACACGAGTACTGCCAAATGAGAAGTTATAGTTTGGTAGAAGGGAACAGAGAGAGAGTCACATGTGTCATGAGACTATGTTGCACTCCTATTTGTGGAAAGTTGATGCATGAAAGATGCATTGGAATCTGTCAATTCCAATCAAGGGGAGATAAAAGGCTTGTGGAATGCTTATTAATTGTTTTGCATATAGAGGGCAGCACTGAACAAGAATAGCTATTTATGTGAGAGGAGGTATGTACCATATTGGAAATCAAATATATTAGTCTTTCCCTAACCCCCCCCCCCCACCAATCTAGCTAATCTTTTGTGTGACACCTTATCAATAGCTTTTTAAAAATCTAAGTACACCAAGTAAACACAAATTCCATCATCAAGACAGTGTGTAACATATCAATAAGGAAAGATGTGCCTTTAGTGAATTTCACATATACTTTCTGTTACAATATTTCATACTTCACAAAATAATTCTGCAAAGCTTCTTTTATTAGAAAATCTAAAAATTTCCAAATATGAAAATAAAACTAACTGGTCGACAATTTCCAGGGCACCTCTTATCATCCCCTATAACAACTGGAGTAACATTAGCAACTCTCCAATCTTCAGACACCCTAACCACTATCTAATAACCAAACATAAAAGAGAGAGAGAGAGAGGCTCACATATCTGATCTTTGACCTCTTTTAAACCACCACAAAATATATAAGTGTACATTTATTATTCATGTCAAACCAAATATTTAACATACAATGTTTGGGGTCAGAAGTATTGTTAACATTCTGTACTGTAAAAACAGAAAAGATCACAAGCTTTTTTAGATTAACTAATTTCTTTTTTTAACCAAATTCCTTGCTTTCCTATGGTTCTGTAAGTCTTTAATATTATCTGTCAGTGTAAGCTTCTTAAGCTTATGCATTTATCCTTAATTTTCTCCTTTATGTCCTTAGTAGCCAATTAGGTTTGTTCTTCTCTTATATCCTTTTCCTCTTTTAAGGAACATGCTTATCTTCAAAATCAGTTTATTTTTTTAGAATTTCCCAAATCTATTCCACATCATCTTTTAATACTTTATTCCAGCTCACTAATGACAAATTCTGTCTCATGGTCTAAAAATTAGCTTTCTGAATATTAGGAATGATGAAATGTTAATTTTTTTTCAATCTCAACAAGCAAAACAACAAACCTAATTACATAAAAATCACTCTTCCTCAAATATTCTCTCAAATGAACTCATATGACTACATATTTATTACTGGTTAACAATAAATCTAATCTTGCATATCTTCTGGTTGGCTCACTAACCATTTGAAATAGAAAACTGTCCTAAATCATTTCAAGAAAACTCTCTCCCTTGCCATAACTAATCAATGTGTCTAAAATTAAAGTCTTACATAATTATTGCATCAGTGCTCTTATTAGTAACAACCCTGAACTCATCATACAACTTCTTATTAACATTATCTGTCTGATCAAGTGGCTTTAACAACTGCTAATTAAAATGTTTCTACCACTAAAATCCCAATTGTAACCTATATAGATACCACCATTCCTTACAGGAAGCAGTTAATCCTTATAATAAAAAGCCACTTCAACCCTTCTTAAAATGTTTATCACTAATAAGTAACTTACAATCTAGAATTTAAAAATAATTCCTATTATTAATGTTCTCCCAAATCTAAACAAGTTTTGGCAATTCAAATTAAAGCATAGTCTTCCATTTCAATTTAAGCCCTGAATTCATTCTTGTTGTTCCTCATATTCCTAACATTAGAAAAACAGCAACTGAGATTATCTTTAAATCCAACTGTTTATCTTTAACACTCAGTCTACAAGTCAACAAAACTGAATTCATGAGATTGTGTTGCTACAGAGGATGTAGTGGTTTCTGTTATTCAAGTTAGAACAAAAAATTACTCTAAGAAAGGAATTGATCTGTTAACCTTAAAAAAACTACATTTTACTATGAAAAGAACCTATTACTTAATAGTGTTCAGGCACGAAAATGCAGAGTTTAGGAAATTGACAAGACTGTGTTCCTCTTGCAAAATATAGTAGTATTCATGTTCAGACAGACACCTCACTTTGTCAACTTACAGCAGCAAGTAATTTTACTGAGCTTTCTTCATCCATCTATAATTGACAGAACTCAAAAAAATTGCTTTATTTAGAACTGAGAAACCACATCTTGTACTCTGCAGCATGTGCAGCTATTAGCATGGTTTGTATAAGATCTTAGATTGGGGAGGTATGGGTTTTACTTCCTCATAGCCTGAAAAATTAGTACAAATTCAACCACGTTGGTGGGCAATCCAGGTTCCAGATGTCACAAGTTCAAATCTCTATTCACAATATAAAAAAATGAGAGAGTGCAGACTGGGTATTATTTAACTTATACTCTAAATCTTTTCACAATCTCCTCATTTCCCTAGTTATCCTATTAATTTGTTTATTCACAATTTCTCAAGCTCCACCATCACTATGCAATATAAGTCTTAGCAATATTGACCAAGACTTGAAAGTTGGAGATTCAGGGATGTGAAAATCCACTAACCCGATATCTGGGAACATCAAATTTTGAGTTTGGGCTAGCTAGCCACATGTACTAGTAAAAAAATTCTACTTATTATGTTTTCTTTCAAATCATTAAATATTTACTGTTACTTAAATTTTTGTAAGGTCAGTATCCTATTCATCAATGATAGGCTGGGTTACAGACATTATCCCCATGAACATGAACCCTATAAGATAAAATCCCCATGGTACAATTTTTTTTTCCCATTAATAATGATATACAATAAAGTTAGTACATTTCTTCTAGAGGAAGACAATTGCATGATAATACTCCCTCTATATAAACAAAGATGATACACAAATTGTACTATATTGTATTTTTCATGTAAAATCACTTAGCAAAATTAAGCGTTAAAATCAGAAAATAAGATAGAGCATCATTAGTAAAATGAAGTTGCATAAATGAAGAATATAAAAATTTTACCTTAATGCTCTAAATCTTTTGATATACATTAAAATCCTCCAAATAGAAAACTTGCTATAAATGTCTACTGGTTTTTTAAAACACTATCATAAATGTACAAAGTTGAAACATATTCAATAAGAAACATTTTAAAAATTCAAAAAAATAATGCTAGCCATTGATAACACAATATATATATATATATTGTAAACTGGACACTGCTGTATTTTTGGCACATATGCAGTGTACATATAGGTCTATTTAATTTGATTAAGAAACTATTGTTTCTACTCAAGTCTTCAACATTATAACTATTAGCAATGAACAAAGACATTCTGAATACTTTATCTGGAAAAGAAATGAGAAAAGTGAAAATTCCTGTTAAAACTTACCCTGACTCTGTTAATCCTTCTTTTAATTGAACACACCCCACTTCGCCAGATGACATGAAGGACTTCTTGATCATAGTTGATGTTCACCCCTTCATGAGTAATTGTAAAGCTAAAAGCCACAGCCTGATGTGCTTCTGCCATTACTAACCTCTCTTCAACCTATCAGACTGAAAAACTAAACTTATTAGTTATCTATATTTTTAATATTACATACATAAGCTGTCAAACATTTAAGTGGTATTTATACTTGAAGTCATAATGTTATCTTAAGGACTTTATGTCTATACATATACTCAAGTTCTTATATTCATAAACATTATTTCAAATTTTTTTGTAGTTCTTTCACTTTTAATCATAAGCTACTTCAAAAAACATTACTTCTAGCAGTTTGTTAATATAAGTAGTGTCTCAACTACTACTAGGTCCAATCCTAAATAAATTCCAGGCCAACCTGAAGAACAGTGGTACCAGGCAAAATACCTCATCAGCACTTGATATAATAGATATAGTGGTTGGAGCATTATTATTATTATAATATACTCTTCTTTACTTTCACTCAGCAGTTCATATAATTACTGTTGTTGTCTTCTCCCTTTGATTTTGTGCTCACTTGACCCACTCAGAGAACAAGACAACTAGGTTGTTGGTTTGGCAATTTTTCTGAATGATGAGGTTATCTTAGCAGATGAAAAGTTACTTCCCTTATACATAATTATAAAAAATTAAAAATACCCACAAAAACTGCAAAACACAAAATTTATATACATTTCCATATGGACCCAATGAGCCTTCATACAAAATTTGGTTAAAATCCATCTGCAGGGGGCAAAGCAGTGGTAAAAAATGCCCATAAAAACTGCAAAACACAAAAGTGAAAATTTGTATGCACCCCTGCATTGATCTAATGAACCTCCATACCAAGTTAGGTGAATAACCATCCACATCCTGTGAAGTAGTTACATGGACATACAACAGACAGTACTATTATATTTATATAGATTTATCTGAAGTAGTTACATGGACATACAACAGACAGTACTAATATGTTAATATAGATTCATTCTTACTCTGATTCTGATGTGTAATGACATAAATGAAATTAAAATAACACTTCACTAAACACACACAAAAATGTAACTAATAAAAAGGAAAAAAGGTCTAGTAGACTAATTTACTCTAATCCTGCCTAAAAGAATTTCAAGTGGCATGGCTATTGAAGATTCCCTCTTATTATTTAAAATTTTGTTTAGTGTTTATGTATTTTTTCCTTCTATCATTTGGTTCAGCTATATTTTTTTGTCTTAGATGCTTATTTGCCTACCTCCTAGTCAGTGGCATAACTAAAAAAGATGGGTCCCCCACATAAAAAGTAATTGGGCTCCCTACATTTGTTCCCCTTTTTGGCAATTCTTAAGTTTGTCAAGAGCTTCAGCCTCATCCCCACATTTGCTGAGGTAAACTTATATCACTGCTCCTGGTTAACAATAAATATTAAAGAAGTCATTTTTATATTAAGCCACCAACATAAGGTTTCCCTAGTAATGACACATGAATAACAAGATCATGATTGTGTAATTAGTTAATCATGTGATGTTAGACTGACAAGGACAAGAGGAAATGAGGTATTAGGTGAGAGATTTGTGAAACCACTACACAAAAAAATATTATTCCAAGGATTAATTTCATCTTTTATTTGTGATTTAATGTTATTTCTTTGGGAAATGTAATACTATTATTGTGGAAAATCATGTGAATTAAGCTTTTCTTCTTCAGTTTAATTTTTTCCAATTCATTATTATAGCTATCATTATTTAGTGGTTTTGATATTAACAATGTTTTTTTTTGTATTATTTTATTAGTGTACTAGGAAATACCCACTGAATCACTTCAGTGGTATTTTTCTAAAACAGTGAATAAATATAAAATGTGCAGTGAACACAATCCCTTAGATCAGAGCATATATGCAATATGATTGTCTAGTGAGCCATTTACAATCATGTGTCATTCCATGTATTATTTCAGGAAGGAAAATTGTATTGCATTTGTTCTTAAACCAAGCAAACTGACTGCAATGCATTGTTGGCAATGATGCAATGGGTACATTCAGTACAATAAAGCTTTCAGACTACTTAACCATGAAGATTTTTTTCTGCAGGGTACCACTGTTCCTTGTCATTTTACTGAGCATAAAAAAACACTACCAAAATTGGCACTTTTTGACAGCTATCATTTCTATAAGAAGTGTAAAAACAGAGATACTCAATTCAATTTATTCAACATGTTACAATAAAATCATGTGTGTGTATATAATACCAACATGAAAAAAAACAAACATATATATATATATATGAACTGAACACAAAGAAATTTATATAATGAAACATGTTTCTCTATATATGAATTTTTTCCATTCACATTCCTATCTTCAGGTATTTCTTTCAATCAATCAATCAATGGAAGAAGTCTCATTTTTGTCATGAAATTTTCTCACAAAAAGAAACATTTTTGATCTTAATACATTTTTTTTTCTCAAATTAGCTACTAAGCTCATACAAAGATTGACAGATCAATGTTGATAACAATATGAAATTTTAGGAATTGCAAAAAATGACAATTTTTCTGTAATGTAGTCTTGAAAATAAGCATTCTGATATACTTTTTTTCTATGAAAATATTGTAACAGACAAACATTTGCATATAATACATATAAAAGATAATATTTTCACAACTTGTAGCATAGTTATTAAATCTTTTAATTGTTAGTAGCCAGTAGTAATATCATTATTTGATTCATTACATCCAGGAGCATAGTTAGGAAGAAAGTTGAGTTTTTGTAAACCTGGAATGGTGCTTTCTGATTAACTTTTTTGTGTATATCATCTGTGAAAAACTTTACCAAATAGGTGGCAAAATATTGCAAACATTTAACTTTTAATCAGTGGCATTTTTTTCTAAATCTTGTTGTGAGAAAACAGATTAAAATTTTATATCAAAGAAAATTTGTATCTTGAATTTTCAATGTTAAGCATGGGCATACATGCATATGACTAGCCACACCCTTGACACCACTGCTGCATCTGTCATATCCAAACTAGCCTGAAAAGTCCAGATATTCAGGGAAAAGACCTCAATGACACTGGATATAGCAGATTTGTTGTGGTTAGTGTATTATTAAACTTTTCTTCACTTTCATTCAAACGTTCTTATAATTACAACTTACACCTGTAATTAGGATTACCCTAATTTCAAGGGCAATATATAGTAAAAGTTAAAATTTTTCAACACTGAAAATGTATTTCTGACACACACTCACCTCTTCTCATTTATAACTTTCCTAATGCGGTGCTACCCTCCATATCCAAATTTTTTGCTCACCATTAGCCTTGAGGCTTCCACCTAAACTGATGTGTTTCCATGTGATATTACTACATTGTTGCATGCAAATGACCATGCTTCCATCAACAGGAATGTGACACAGCCTCCTAGTGCAGCTGACTCCCTCTATACTGATTGTTAGATCATCGCTTTGAGATCAGACAAGAAAATAATATGCATTGGAAGAGGGAAAGAAGTGTGAAAGGAGGTGAGTATCTCTATCAGAAATATATTTCAGTTTAGGAAAATGTTAACTTTTGATACATAACTTCTGCTGACGTTGAATTGGTGTAAGGACTGGTGCAAAATATTACATAGATGAGACCCCTTTGGGAGAATCCAAAGGGAAACCATGGAATGTGACACCCTATACTCTGGAACAGTATAGTATAAGAGCACAGTCGTGGGAAACTGCACCTCATCTGTACCAGAGTATACACCCTTTGCCCAGGCAGTAAGGGAAGGGAGTGTCACAATGATGAGCAGAAGATACCAACCTTAATCCAATACCTGCAACAGGCATTTGGAGGTGCCATATGTGTAGTGTGGCTTGGATACATCAGATCATACATGGTAGGTCAATTCCAGTCCAAACCAGGTAGCACAGGGTATTCAGCTTCCGAGCTGCAGTAGAAAGAGGGTCCCCACAATCTTGATCTCAAACCCAGAGAGAGAGACAGAATAGGAATTTAACTTTTCACTTATCAATTCCAAAAATCCATGAAGGCTTCCTCCTGAGTTTGACCTATTCTACTTACTAAAGTAGGGTGGTGGTATTATGTCTGTGTAGTAAAGTTCACACTCCTGCTGGCTTTCCATCATCCTACCACTACCTAGATGCTAAGTTTGCGGGTGGTCTTGTGTTGGATTGGTGCAGGACCAGTCAGCATAAGTCCTCATTCAGTTGCAGTTTGGAAGACTCCCATACTCCACTAGAAGAAAAAGGAGGTGAAAGAGTGTTGGAGAGTCTGGAGAAGTATATCACCATAAGACAGTTCAATGGGTAACCACACAAAAAACCCTATTTTGAAAAGCAGGCCAGCACTAGGTATTAAACTAGGCATGGAGTATGGGCAAGAATACCCTGCCTGCTTTACTCATGATAGTTCATGAGTGGGTATGGTCTGGATTGGGCCTTGTTTAAGATACTGAGCATTGCAAGGATACCTCAAGCTGTCTTATGAAACACCTCATCTTATAAGTGAGTGCTATATCAGGCCAGGACAGCCCTACACTGTACAGATTTTGTTTAACTCTTTCACTACAAACATCTTTTTTATGCACATGTCACAAGGTTTTAGTGAGTTACATTCAAAATTTAATCACTACTTTCTTTTCATAGTATACCAATAAATTTGGCATAAAAACGTAACTAATAATCCAAATGTTAATAGTATATACATTTTAAGTTCATAATTTTATATGCCAATATTTGAAAAAGAAATCCTGAATCTCCCCTCTTCTCTACTTTATTTACCACCCCAAGAAGTAGGAAATGTAATGTAATATACTCATTATAATGTTGTCATCGCTCATGCAAAGTATAATTTTTAGTCTTCAATCTTATTTAGTTAAAGAACCATGTAACAGGTACAGAACTTTGTAAATTAAAGAGTGTAGAGATAAATTTCATTGACAGTATATAGCATCTTCATAGCAAGGGATTACTTGGTCTTCAAATATATTCTTGCACATTGACCCTAAAAAAGTCACACTTCAAGTTCAACTTATATTTTTCAGGAAATCATTTCCCTGTTAAATTCTTGTATAGTGTCAGCTTCCATTACTGCCA